CCTGGGACCACGAGGCACGAAGCTCTAGGCCACAGTGCCCGGCGCACCCTGCTGCCCGGCACTGAGCGCGGAGTGCAGGGCCCGCCTGTGGCCGGTCCGACGCTGCCATTAAAGAGATGCACCTTCTCTCTGCAACTTAAATCAGCAACAGCACAATCTCAGCTCTTAACCGTAATTTGATTCTGATGCCTTCTCTTCTCACGAATAATATCTGACAGACTTGACAAACAGCATCTCCATTCTGCTCAGCAATCTGTCGGTGGAGGACTGTGTCCCCAGGCTCTGTCTTTCCGGCATAACGACTGCCCGTCACTCTCAGGGACGTCCCGGTCAGGACTGTGCATGTGGCCACCCTGTCCTGTGACGCCTGCTCTGTGCCAGGTCTGTGCTGGTCACGAGCTGGGCGTGGTCCATCCTCGTGGGGCTGTGGTCTGGCCTGAGTATTGAAGCCGGTCTTGACCAAGGACAGTAGCACGGCGGTGGCCACCGCTGCTGAAACGGCCGACCTGCGAGCTGCCTGGGCCATTTCTTTCTAAGAGCAGGTCTGAGCCATTTGGCTAGTCGGCTGGATGGGGTCCCGCCGTGCCGGCGCCCCACCTGCTGGGAAAAGGCTGCCTCGGCCCCATGTGGGACTCGCTAGTGTCCCCCCGTCTCCAGCCCCAAGGTTCTTGTTCTTGTCCAGTTTCCAGGTCTGCCCTGATGCTGTCTGGAGCCCCCTCCTCTGCCCCTGAAGAGTCCCAGGCCCGTGGTGGCCTGCTGGGCCCTGGTCCAGCCCCCATCACTCCCACTTCACACGGGGCCGCAGCACCAGGGCCTCCACCACGGGCTGACCCTGAGCATCCATCAGAAGCACATCCGGACGTCCAGCCAGTCCGTACGGTCGGCTGCCGTCTGTTTTCACCTGGCAGAGGGGCTCGCTGGGCCTCACGGGACGGGACCCGCTTCCGGGCAGACGTGAGTGGGAGGAGGGCATCCTCAACCCTTTTATTGGATGCCGAGGAACAACTGGTTTTAACTGTCCTTCTCACATATTTCACAGCCCCAGAGAGCACACCGCAGCTAGAGTTCCACAGCCCATGTGTGCGTGTGAATGTACACGCGTCTGCGTGTGTACACGCATGTACATGTGTGAGGACAGGTGTACATATGTGCATGGTGTGTGTGTGTGTGTGTGTGTGTGTGTGTGTGTGTGTGTTGGGGCCTCTCTGGGGTGATCGGCGGGCCTAATGGGCCTGGCCCCAAGTTCCTGGGGTTCCCGCAGCCCCCCCAGCTCTCCCCAGACTTCGTGTTAGACCCCAGGGGTGGAGCCACGACAACTCTCCTCCTTGCCTTCACCTCAGACTCACCTGGACAGGAAATGTAAAAGGAGTCCCAAGGCCCAGGCCACCCCTTGCCCCATGACAATATGTCATCATTTTGGGGTGTGAGATGCAGGCGCCCGTGTTTTTTAAAGCTTCCCTGGTGCTGTCATGCAGTCAGCGTGAGACCCACTTGCCTGAAGGGTCTTTGCCCAGAAAAAGTCTTCTCTGCATCGGAGACTGTGGGTTAATTTCTAGGAGAGGCTCAATGAGAACTTTGGAGTTTGGAGGAGAAGCTGTTTATTCCCATGCAGGTTTGTGGAGCAGACAGGGTTCCACATGGAGGAGGAATCCTGACGACAAACCCACCCTCCCTCCATCGTCCCCCTCCCTCTTCCCTCCGACTCCCCGCCCCCTCCCCTTACCAAAGTGAACTTCACTCTGAGAGGGAAAAGAGGCCAGCCTGTGAACGAGGCAGCAAGGGGGAAACGTGCTGAAAGATAATGATAAAAACTGGTGCTTATTTGCAGGAGTTTATGGTCTGCAAGCAGGTTCCTGTGCTTTTCTTACTCCCAGCCTCTGAGGAGGGTACAGTGAGGCCGAGGTTATTACAGAGCTGCTGGGAGCTCCTAAAAAGTTCTGTGTCATGGAGAGCTGTTTGAGCTCAGGGATCCGGGTCATGTTGGTCAATCTTCAATTTTCAGTGCTATTTGGGGCCATGAGCCCTTTCCCCCCTCCACCCGCTGGAGCTGCACACCTGTGCACACCTGTGCACACCCTGCGTGCCCGCCATCAGCCGGTCTCCGTGGCCAGGGGAGCTTGTTGGTTCGGCCCAGACACTAAGGGAAGGAATTCACCGCTCCTTAGTGGACGGAGCCTCAGAGAGGAGAGGAACAGTGAGCGCGTGGCAGAGACAAGTACCAGTGCACTCACGGGCGCCTCCTGGCGGGGCTTCCAGGAAGCCACTGGACTGGTCCTTGTGGTCAGTGCCTTTGCTCAGAACTGCAAGTGAGCGAGCCCAGCTGAGCACCAATTCCAGCCCCAGAGCGTCTCCCGGGACCCTCACTCGTGTTGCTTGTTCTCCTCTCCTTCAGCTGCCAGATCTTCCTCTCCAGCTTCCGGTAACCACGGTGGCCGTCGTGGAGGCAGGGGTTCCAAAGGGAGCCCAGCCATGCTGTTGGCTCTGTCAGAGCCAATTGCTCCAGCAGCATTGGGGCTGCTGCGGGGATGGGCAGGGAGTCAGGGAGGCTGGGAGGCCCGGAGGCCGGGAGGCCGGGAGGCCAGCCCCGTGTCGGCTCATTTTTAGCCAGGCCTCTCGTGCAAGTCTGATGTGGGCTGTGGCAGACACCTGTTCCACAGCAGAGTCACGGGCACTGGACCGAAGGGTAACCACAGGCGGGCGTAGTCTCCGTTTTCACTGCACACAGCTTAGCTCAGAGGGTTAAACCCCATCTAACCCTGAACTGTTCGGCTGATGTCTCTCTCTCTGCTCCAAACAAAACAAAACACAAAACACGCCTCTATGATACATGCTACGTCATTTTTCTTTTCTCTGCTGATTCCCATCCAAGAGGGTGTCCTGAAGGTGGGTGTTACGTCATCCATCAAGGGGAGAGGAGCTGGGCCCTGGATCTCAGATGCGGGTGGCGCTTCTGACTCCACCACGTCCAGCTTCAGGACCCACTCTGCCGACCCTCCGCACCCCACCCGCTGTAGGGACGGCAGCACCTCCCGCCCTGAGCAGGTTCTGAAATGGCACCAGTGGGCTCCCCTAGAGAGTCACCACGCCCACACGACTGAGAAATTCCCCCCATCCAAATCTTGCTTTTCTGGGTGTCTTGAACTCAATTTAAACTGGACAAAAGGGAGATTCACTTAAATGGAAGATGAATATCTGTCTGCTCGAGGCTTTCAGCAATAGCCCAGTTCTCCAGGCAGAAACCCAAAGAGCTGGGCCGGTGCTCACGGTGCCCCGTGTGCCGCTGGGGACTTGTCAGGGGCCCCGGTTATTAGAGTTTCTGCAAGCATTGCAGGGTCTGAGCCATCCTGAGGGCAGGCTCGGGACCAAACCCCACTGGACAATAGGACTGCCCGTTGGGGTGCACCAGCTGAGGGAGTCAGCGTCCCAGGTCTGCTCTAAAGGGGGAAATAACAGAGGACAAGGTGGCCACGGCCCTGGCAGGGAAGGCAGACGGCTCAGCCACAGAGAGAGAGAAATAAGGCGCTTGCGGGAGTGACGACTGCTGTGGAGACAGTGACACAAAGTAACGGGGTCGCTGCAGGGGGCCCGGGAGCTCCTGACCCCAGGAGGCTGCCGCCCGAGACCGCGGGAGACCACTCGGGGCTGAAGCTGGGCCGGGCCGGGCAGAGCAAGCCAGGAGGGTGGCAGCAGGCGCACGTCCAGGGTCGTGGGGTCAGAGCCTACACGCCTCTGCGGGGAGAGAACAGAAAGCGCAGGGCATGAGTCCCCACGGAGCGGGGCCGTGGCCCGTGCCTCGTTCTCCCGCAAGGATGTGCCCCGTGGGTGGCACGGGGTCTTGCAGGTGGTGCCCTCTTTGCTGGGGCTGGTGCTGCTTTTATTCCAAATGCACCGGGAGACAGACAGAGAAGAGGCTCACACGGGGACCAGAGTGGCGAGCTTCGTGCTTCCTGAGCTCTCTCCGTGGAGAGTGGGTGGTGGGGAAGGGCGGTAGGAGGCAGCGGAGGCCTGGGAGCCGTGGGGGGGCCAGGGAGGTGACAGACACACGGTGCACCCTGCAGGTGGTGGTGGCAGGACTCGCTGACGGGACTGGGGTGACGTGAGCCGAGGATGACAGACCCGCTCGAGGTGCCTGGACTGAGAGCACAGACCTCTGCGGCTGGTGGGGGGAAGGGAAGCGTCCCTCTGGACACACTGAGTGTGAGGGGTCTGTAGGGGGCTGCGTTTCTCAGGGTTCTGGCAGGAAGCGGAGGGCACCCTTGGCGTGTCTGGGGAAGGGTGGCAGGGCTGTGCACTCAGGTGTGCCTCCAGCCGGACTCCTCCTGTCTGTCTGCCCCTCGCCCCCCACGTAGACCCGGGGCAAATCCGGATCCCAGCCATTCTTTCATTTCCTAAATAGAGTTTGAGCGGCGGCTTCATGCCACATGGTGTGTGGTGGGGTCATTCAGCCAAGGTCAGAGCTTTCGGATGGAAATAAACCATTCAGTAAAAAAAAACAGTGAGTGTCCCCCAAAATCTAGACATCAGACATCATGTAGACAGACAGTACAGCTGTCTAGATCGGTTTCTCCGTTTGCCGAGAGTGTCATAGAAGGTAAGCGAGACATCCCTTTATTTGGGCTGAAGGGGGAGGGGCCGAAGCCATCTGGAGGGCAGGAGCCCGCACCCGCCCTGCTCCCCACGGGCTGTGCCCATTCCTTGGCAGATTCATTTGAGGTGAGGGTTTCACCCTCCCGTGCACTGCAGGTTTCCGGGGGCCCGTGTGTCTGCAGTTTTACTTTCCGGGCCAGTGGGGCTTCCAGGCTTGACGCCTCTGGGTGCACATTCACGCTGTCCACCGACAAGGGTTGATTCTGTTGTCCAGGCATGTTTTAATGAGCCATCCTCGAATAGACGGTTGCTCCCAAGTTTGCAAGAAAAACCGCCTTCCCAAAACTTGCACTTGGGTTTCAGCAAACGTGGAGTTTGGCTCACGGACAGTGGGCATTGCACTGGTCTTGCAGGTCAGCCGTGTGGAAAGGGAGAAGAGCCAGGAGCTCAGGCAGCTGCGGGAGCACGAGCAACACAAGAGCGCCGTCCTGCTCACCGAGCTCAAGACGAAGCTGCACGAGGAAAAGATGAAGGAGCTGCAGGCCCTGCGGGAGACGCTGCTGCGGCAGCACGAGGCTGAGCTGCTGCGGGTCGCCAAGGTCAAGGACAGCGAGAACCAGCGGCTTCGGGCGCTGCTGCACGCCCTGCGTGACAGCGCCCCCGACAAGGTGCGCGCCATGCTGCTGTCCGAGGCCAAGGAGGAGGCGCGCAAGGGCTTCGAGGTGGAGAAGGTGAGGATGCAGCAGGAGATCTCCGAGCTCAAGGGGGCCAAGAAGCAGGTGGAGGAGGCGCTGACGATGGTCGCCCAGGCCGACAAGGTCAAGGCCGCGGAGATCAGGAGTGTGTACCACCTGCACCAGGAGGAGATCTCCCGCATCAAGAAGGAGTGCGAGCGGGAGATCCGCCGGCTGGTATGTGCGGGGCGTGGGGCGCAGGGCGCGGGGTGCGGGCAGCAGGGGCAAGGGGCAGGCATGGCTTCGGCCTCGCTCTCGGGCAGGGTTCCCTGCACAGCGCACCTCACACCCCTACTGTTGGTTTGCAGACTGCAGAGAGGCCAGGCTGCTAAAAACAGCCGGGTGCGTTTCAGAACTCACCACAGTCAGCGCCCCCCAGGGCCGGGGAGGCCGCAGTCCTCTCCCCTCCACCCACCCAGCTTTCCTCCCAGTTCCAGCGTGGCCAGAACAAGGGACCTGCAGAGGAAGCCCCGTTTCCTGGAAGGGGTTTCTGAGGCCCCCTCGCACAGCCCCGGGTTAAGCTCAAGCCAGGCAGCGGCTAATGTTTGACGGCACGAGTCCGCACACTCCATAACGGCAGGTTCTGCGGTCTGTGAGCTCACTGGACCCGGAGAGGCGAGACCAGAGGCCCACGGCTGATGGTCAGGGGCCCCAGGCCCTCCTGACATTCCCAAGCTGTGCACTGTCTGGGAAAGCGTCGCGCTTTGTGGGTCAGGAACTTCATCGGGCGCATCCTCCTGGCTCCAGAGACCAGGTGCCCAATATATGCGTGTGTATATATATGTGTGTATATATGTCTCTGTGTGTATATTTCACACATATATATCTTTCATGTGTGTATCATTGAAGACATACATGCCTGATAGCAAGAAGACCAATACTTCCCTTTTGAGACCACCCCGCCAAGAGTCCCACAGCTCCGCGTCTGTCTCACTTAGCCCAGCGGGGAGGAAATGGGCGGTGGAGTCACATTCCACCCACTGCATCTCCCGCCCCTTCCACCAGGTGTCGCTGTTGGAAGCCGGTCCACAAGGTGCTGGCCGCCGGCATCAGGACCCGGCGCCCCCCATCCACCTCAGCTACTATTCCCAGAGCCCAGCCATATTATAGAATATACAAAATAATTGTTTCCAGTTTTTATGGCATATAATTGACATACATCACTGTATAGGTTTAAAAAGTGTGCAAGATGGTGGTCTGACTTACATATATGTGAAATGATTACCCCCATGAGCTTAGTTAGCTCCATCAGTTCATGGAGACACGATAAAAAGAAAAACCAAAAGAAAAGTTAAAAAATGTTTTCCTTGTGATAAGAACTCTTGGGATCTACTGTATTAACAGCTTTCATATATTTCAGTACATATCAATGTTCTGTTTTTGTGCAATTTAAAGCAAATAATGAAAAGCACACATGAAGTCTCAGCCACGTGCCCAACACACAGGAGGTGCTCCCAGAGCGAGGGCCACAGTGAGCACCAGTTCCCGCCACCCGCGAGCCCAGCATCATGGCCCAAGCCTCTCTGCCAGGACCCTTTCTCCGTGGCGGTGCTGCCCCCGTGGTGCCCCCTTGCTTAACTGAGGCCCAGCACGTCCTCGGCCTTCTCGTTTAGGCTCTAGCTGGTGAGAGCATCCTGGCCCCTAGGCCCGGCTGCGGGTTCAGGGGTGACACCCAGCCCAGCTGTGCGGACACGTCTGAGGTGACCATGACTGAGGTCAAGTGTGACGCCCCAGCCCGGGGGGATGGGCGGCCTTGGCTGGGAATGGGGGCTCCGGGGCCTTTTCAGAGAAGGCGGGGTTGGAAAGAGAGGGAGCGGTAGCAGGGCTAGAGCAGAACTGGAGGGTAGAAGATGTGGTCCAGAAGAGGCCCCACCGCAGGGGCCTGGGGGCAGGTCTGAGGAAGGGGCCTGGTTTGGAGGGGAGGTGGGCTGGGGGCTGTCCAGAGGCAGGGCCTGGCCCCGAGCCACAGTGCAGGGCCAGCAGTGGTCAGGGCGCTGCGGGCCAGAGGAGGGACGTGGTCCCAGGTCCCAGGACAGCCACGGTGCAGCGAGGTTCACTGACGCGGCCCCAGGGATGACCGTGCTGACGGCCGTCGGGGTCCCAGGGCTCCCGCACAGAGAGGCCCCGTCTGCCATTCCCTTGGAAGATGTTTGGCGATCCCAGTTTCTTAGAAACGTCAGGCAAAGAGTTGCTGTTCCCCCAGCCGTGGCACTGGCCCATCCCGGGGCGTGGTGATGACTTCCCTGGGTCTGGGAGGAAGGCGCGTGGTTCCAGAAGGTCAGAGGTCTACCAGTGCTCAGGGAAGCGCTGGCCTGGGGGAGACGCGCGGCCCCCCTTCCCCACGCGCCACCCAGCGCTGGACGCTGAACCAGGGCATGTGGACGCCGAACCAGGGCATGTGTGACCGCAGGGGCGGCTGTGCAGCAGCCAGTGCCAGACAGGGTTGCAGCCGAGTGAAGGCCAGCCCGGGGCCTTCTGCAGCCCAGGCACAAGGCCGCAGCGCAGGGGCCGTGGGCAGCCCGACCGGGAAGCCAAGGAGCGTGCAGGGAGGTCCGCGCCTCTGCGTCCTCGTGTGGCCGGCGCCCCGAGCGAAGGGCACCCTGCCGACAGTGCTGCTTGTAGCGAACCTGGGGCCTGAATTCCCTGCACCCTGGGGGACAGGAGCCCCGCCTGTAGATGGGTCTCGCTGGCAGCCCGGCCCAGGGAGGAAGGGAGGGGACCTCAACAAGGAGCAGCCACTTTGCAAAGAACACGACAACTCCCAAGTGGCCCAAAGCAGGAGGCTCCCCTGCAGCATCGTGGTCAGTCCGGCTGGTGTTCGGGGCCTGGCCCCTGCCCACTTGCCCCAGCTCTTCCAGCCCTTGTCCTGTGGCTCCAGCCAGTTTGGGGTCTTCTGGGTGTGGCTCACAGGGTCTGAAGGGGAGGCTGTAGCCATGTCAGAGAGGCCAGCAGGCGGCGGGCTGGCCCTGGTGAGGTGTGAGGCTGAGGGCCCCCGCAGGGCCAGGCGCGGGCACGAGAAGGATGGCTGGGCCAGCCAGCGGGGAAGGGCCGGGGAGCTGTGGAGAGTTAGGTCCCTGCTTTGACCCCGGGACCCTGGGTGCTGGCCGGGGCTGTGGCACCCCGTGAGGGCACAGAGCTCTCAAGGAGAAGCTTCCTGGAGGGTGGGGATGCGGCGGCCGGCAGGCACGCCCAGACAGAGCCAGGGAGGCCCGGAGCCGGGTGGGCTGCAGGGCTGCAGGAAGGGCTCGGGGCTCAGAGGTTTTTCTCACCGCGGAGCTCGCCTTGGAACGCCCGGGGGTTTCAGGAGGTGACTGCAGGATTGGGGCCTCCCTGCTGAGGCCCAGGCCTGTTGTTTTTAGGGCTCCCTGGATCTTATAGAAGGGAAGTCTGGAGCCCCAGGAGGCTCTGGAGCTACCTCGTTAGCCGTGCCCAGCTGCACAGCGACCCTGGAGAGACTCGGTCCTGGGGCGGGGGGGCTCCTGACCAAATTTTTACCCTGTCAGAGTGGAAGGGAAGGAGGTGGTTCGCTCTGACTTCCTCTGTGAGCTCAGGTGCGTCCCCGTCGTCCCAGCCGCGCCTGGCTGGTGGCACACTCTAAGGACTGGGCTGCAGCAGGCGGGGAGGGGGTGTGACTCTGGGCCCCAGGAACAGCTTCGGGCACGTTCATGCTGTGTCGTTGTGGAATCGGGGGATGTCTGCCGATCATTCGCTAAAATACGAGCTCAGATGGTTATTAAAAATTCTATAAAACCGAAGAAGTACAGGCAGCTCCAATTTCACCTTTCTCATAAAAGCCTACGGTGTGTGGCGCTACCTGGACAGCTCGTTAGAGTGGTTAAAGCCGTGCAGAGACTGCTGGGGGGGCGTGGATTCTTCACGGCGCTGCTTGCACGTCAGGAGAGCAGCCCAGCTTCCCCGCGGCCGCCCGCCGAGGCTTCCCTGGCCATCCCGTTACCCGGGTTTGAATGTGCTCCCTGAGCTGGAAGCAGCCCCCTGAGTGAGGTGGGGGCCCCATGCATCCGACAGAGCGTGTCTCCCCTCGGCTGGGCGTGCCCGTGGTGCACACGCACCTCCTTCACGGACGGGCCTCTGTGTCTAAAGCAGCGGGACCGGGAGATGCAGGAATGTGCCCTTGGCTGAGACCCTTGGCATGTCGGGCGCAATGAGACGCTGAGTGCGAGGCCCCTGGGATCTTAGAGGAGTTTCCATCTTCAGAAATCAAATACCCCCCTCGGTGGGGTGGAAGCAGCTGCACGCATTTCCTTGGTGAGCAGATCTCGGAGCTCTACCTCAGGGTGGACCGGCTAACTTGGCCACGTTACGTGACACGTACAGTGACTTCCCTGGGAGGTTGGCTTCCTGGTCCAAACCATCTGGTTAAACAGCTGATTTAGGTGGGAGAGTGGAGACTTGTTCTCACCTTTCCTGATGACGGAAAAGTGATGTTTCCAAAGTGTCTGTGTGACTGTAAATGTGAGACTAGAGGACATAGCTGCTTCTTAATATGACTTTATTTTCACCGGCCTCTTTGTTTCCACTAACTGAATGGGTTGCCTCTTTCCACTTTGCTGTGTGCTCCAGGCAATGGGAGTTTAGCAATTAAGGATTTCTTTTCTTCTGTTCAGTGCGTCGCTGGCCTGTGAATTCTGTGATCTGGGCTAATTAGACATCTCTACTCTTTGTTCCAAGCTGACCTCAGCAGACGGCTGATTTATTAACTTACTCAAACCTTAAACAGCAAAAAAAGCAGCAGGATATCCTACCCTGCTCTGCTGTTTGAAATATGTTTTAAACCAAGGCTTCTTGTCAATCTGGTGCCATTTGTAATGACACCCCCAGCACCCGAGCCCGTCTGTCTAAAGAATGGGCCGCACGGGGCCCGTTACGCCTGGCCCTCCCCCAGGGCAGTGGCCTGCGCTTTGGTCAGGGCCGCCCCTGTGGCAGCTGGGAGGGGCCCAGAGGCCAGGAGCAGCTGTGTCTGGAAGGGCTGGCAGCTATCAGGAGGCTGACACTTTAGGGAGAGTGTGCAGGGCTGCAGACCCCTCACAGCCACCAGACTCCCTGGGCACCCTGTCCTCCCGTCTGGAGCCTGCTTGTCCAGGGGCCCCCCGCCCCAAGCCTTAGCTCAGAGGAAGCTGAATTAAAAATGTGGCTTTGCCTGCGAGCAGTCAAGCAGCGCCCCTGCTTTCTACCCACACCTTGGAGCCAAGGGAGGACACGCACGTTGGCCCTACACACTGTCCAGCCTTCCCAAGCCAGGCGCCCGCAGAGCAGCGGGAAAGAGGCCGAAAGGGCTTTTGGGCCCACGGCTCCTACTTCTCTGTTCACAGCCCGCCTGTTTTAACACAGACCTTGCTCATCCTACTGATGGGGTACAGGAAACGGGGTGCCCCTATTCTGCCTGACGTGCAACAGAAGGCAGAGGGTAGAGGTGGCCTCTCCAGACCCTGCCGGACAAGGGGTCCCCGCAGGCCAGCCTGGGAGAGGGGAGTCCTGCCAGGACCCCAGGGAGGCTGGGGAGGGGTGTGTGGTGGAGACGTCCAGGGAGACGTCCTCGGCTCCCCCAGCTTGGTCTGAGCTGGGGAGTCACGTGAGGCCTGGGCGGCGGGGCACGGCTCGCGGTCCAGGGCCACTTTCTTTGCTTCGGGTCTGCTGCTGTGCTGGTGCCCCTCCTGACGCTTGTGCGAGAGTCACTCCACCTGTTTCTATGGTAACTGCAGATCTGTACCCTGCCTGCGTGTGTGATTGTGTTCTGTTCTCCTTGTAGATGGAGGAGATAAAATTTAAAGACAGAGCAGTCTTCGTGCTGGAGAGAGAGTTAGGGGTTCAAGCCGGGCATGCTCAGAGACTTCAGCTCCAGAAAGAGGCTCTAGATGAGCAGCTGTCCCAGGTCAAAGAGACCGATCGGCACCTGGGCAGCCCCAGACGGGAGCTTCCTCACGCAAGCGGTGCAGGAGACGCCTCAGACCACTCGGGAAGCCCTGTAAGCACCTCCCATGCTTGGCCCGGCGACCCAGAGTCACAGACAGGACTGCCCGTGGCTCGTGGCCCCGCGGGCAGCTCCCTGGGGAGTCCAGAGCCCAAGCCCTCCTGCCCTGGCGACACCGACCGTGTCTGCAGCGCGCAAGCCAGAGGGACCCTCAGCTTCGCTGGCTTGGCTGAGAGGGCCCAGAGACTTCCGTCTCTTCCCTTCCTTGTGACGTAGCACAGCACAAGCCCTCCTGTGTCCCCTGCCATGGGCCCTGCCCGAGGCGTCAGGCTTAGCTGCACCCACCTCAGCTGCCGGGTCCCAGGCCGCGAAGGGTCCCTGCCCTCGCTGGTGGGAGCTGCGGCTGGGCCGCTCCATCGCTGCGCGCATGTGGGCTTTGCCTCGCGGCCCAGGGCGGCCCCCTGCTCGCCCCCCTCTGGCTGTGAGCCTCCCGCAGTGGCTTCGGCCGCTCCCGTCACCATTTGCCTGCCGCTCTCCGCATCCCACGCCGCTTTTGCTCCTTGGGCTGCATGGCAGCAGCGCAGGGGCTGGGACACCATCCGTCTCCTCACGGCCGCTCCTGATTCAGAGCCCTCTGAGGGGTTCTGGGAATCCGGGAGGGAGTCTAAATTCCACGGACCCTCGATGCGGTCCTTCCAGGTCTGCCCCCTCGCCTCTCCTGCACCTGCTGAATGAGGAACCGTTCCTCGGTCCTTCCTGGACACGTGTCTGTTTGCTTGGAGGACAGAACCGCGTTTGAGCCGAGCCAGCCCTAGGACAGTGACATTTCGAGAATAGAGCACAGACATTTTATAATCTTATTATAAATGGTTTAACTGGATCAAAACCAGCTCCTGCTCTGGCGTTCGATAGCTTCCGTTAACTCCAGGGAAATTCCGAAGCCAGATCAAAATGTTTTCTTTGATTTTTCCATCAAGTTCTAGTGGTTCCCGAAGTGACCTTTTAGAAACTAAATTGGAGGGACCACTTTTCTTGGGAAACCCACTTCTGAAGGTCTAAGTGGAACACCTTTTCCTGGGCTCACGTTATAACACGAGGAAAATTATGCCCCGACTGCAGTGCAGGGCAGGCCCCCCTCCTGAAAGCTGCAGCCAGCAGTGGCCACATGAAGCATGGTGCTGGTTTCCGGGGTTTTCTCGGCGTCACGCAAACCTGCGGCATCTGCATCGGCATGCCCTCGCCCCCATATCTGCACGCCCTCGCCCCCCACATCTGGATACTTCTGGACATACCTGCTCCTACATCCTGTCCCCAGCATACAGTTTGCTGTGCCCACGGCGCTCGAAGCAGCGGTTGCCGGCCCCCAGGAGGGTCCACACCCACCCCCAGCTGTTCGGAATCACGGGCGAGCATGACGCAGAAGTGCCTTGGTTTCTGTGGTGTGTTGAGATTGGCAATGGTTTTTGTGTCTGTGTCTAGGAACAGTTATTTGCAGTTGATTTTTGTTTTAGGAACAGCAGTTGGATGAAAAGGATGCTCGGCGTTTCCAACTTAAGATTGCGGAGCTGAGCGCGATCATCCGGAAACTCGAGGACCGCAATGCCCTGCTGTCGGAGGAGAGGAACGAGCTGGTGCGTGGCAGCGGGGCCTCTGTGGGCTTGTGGCTGCTGTGCAGGGGGAGCTGAGGCATCCTCTTCCAAAATTCCCTGTGGAAAGGAGGAATGAGGGTGACAGGGGTGGGCCTTGCGTCCAGGCTCCTTGGCTGTTTCCAATAAAACTTTATTAACAAAATCAGGTGGGAGGCCAGATGCAGGCCTCAGGAGCTGGCTGGCTGACCCCTGCCCTGCGTCACCGAGGCACAGTATCCTCAGTTCCGCGTGTGATCGGGAACATGTGAGGACCTCGCCCTTCAGCGGCGCCCTCACCATTAGTCCTTATGGCCATGAAAATGCCCCAGTGACCCGTGCTGCCGGGGTGGGAGCTCCCCAAGGGGCCCCGAAGGGTCACGAGCCGGGCTGCTTCCCGCAGCTCTTATGGGCTGAATAGAGCGCGGGCCCGAGGCTGCCGCCCTTTGTGGAACCTGAGGCTTATTCTGTTCACTTTACCGCCTCTGTTTGGAGACCACTGGTTCTCTGCACGCTTGTAAAAATCACTCTGTATGATTTATTTTGTCTTTCAGTTGAAGCGTCTAAGGGAAGCTGAAAGTCAGTACAAGCCGTTGCTGGACAGAAACAGACGCCTGACTCGGAAAAACGAAGATCTGTCCCACGCTTTACGTCGGATGGAGAACAAGTTAAAATTTATCACCCAGGAGAACATAGAGATGGTAAGGGGCCTCGCTCCCGTGTAACCAGCCTCTCCTACACGAGGTTTGGTAACAAGATCAAGCCTTTGGTCTCACGGGCGTTTGTGGGACCAGGAGCTCGCCGGCAAGGAGGCCGTCCACCCACAGCCCACGGGTGGCTGGTGACAGGGCTGCTGGGATGCAGCAGCCGCCCTTCACCAGTCGGGCCCCCTCAGCCCACATGTCGTGTCGTGTGGTCTGGTTGGTTTTTCAGAGACAGAGAGCTGGCATCCTAAGGAGACCCAGTTCCTTAAACGACCTGGACCAGAGCCAGGACGAAAGAGAGGTTGACTTCCTGAAGCTGCAGATCCTGGAGCAGCAACACCTCATAGACGAGCTCTCCAAGGTGACCGCTGGGCACCACCCCGCCCACCCGCCAGCCACGCTCCTGTCCCCTCCCATCCCCGCTCTGCTGCCCCCAGGGCACCCTGAGCCTGGGCTGGGAGGGGCCTGCTGGAGATGCGGGACACCCTCCCGCAGGGTCGGCTCTAGGCGCCCCCCCGCCCCCTCCACTGAAGCCCTCTGCTTCCCTCCCCCCTCGGGACTGCGACCTCAAGAGCAGCAACAGGGCCTGTGTTGGCCCCGGGCCTCTCACAGCACTGGGGGTGGGATCCAAAGTCAGGGTGCTGGCAGGGCCGCGCTCCCGCAGACGGTGTCGGGAGGATGGATCTTTGGCCGCCGGCCACACCCCTCTGACCTCAGCTGTCTTCCTGGGGCCTTTCCCCTCTTCTCTGGACACCCACCCACCCTAATCCAGGATGGTCTCCTCTCAAGGTCCATGACATAATCACTCCGCAAAGACCCTGTTTCCAAATAAGGCTGCAGTCCCAGGCCTGGGGCTTGGGGTGTGGGGATATCTCTCCAGGGGGCCCCACCCTCCATCTACGTAGCCCTCCCCCTGTGGCCAGCCCCAGCACAGCTCTTCCAGTCCTTCCACAGACCCTCCTGCAGTTAACCCTCATCAGGGCATCTTCTGCGTCTTTTTGGGACCCTGACTGACTGAGTCCACGGTCAGATCAGAACAAGCTGCTTTGGTCATTCTGTGCCCTGGGCGGGGGCAGGGGGAGGAAAGCAGAGGGGACAGCGGTGCTCTGTGTCCTGTCGCAGGCATGGCGCAGGGCCAGGGAGCGCTGGTCTGTCTTGTTTCCATGACTGAAATCACCTCCGAAGTAACTGAGATGGGTCGGGGCATCTTCCCACCCCGTGGGCAAGATGGGGTCTCACCACCCAGCCTTCCCTGACAGGGCCTGAGGTCAGAGCTCTTGTCCCTTCGGTGACCAGTGACCGTGCACCCCCACAATAAGAATGCACGAGGGGAGGAGGACAGAGACAGCATCCTGAGCAGTCGCAGACGCACACTCACCCTGAGCCCCTGCAGGGTCCCGGGTGCCCCTGGGGGCACCAGCTTAGGGAGGGAGGAAGGGCCGGGGCCAAGTAAGACCCTCCCTCTCAGGGCAGGGGGTGGGCGAGAGCAGTGGGCTTCTGGGGGCCTGCGGGGCTCGGGGGCTCCCACGTCTCCATGCGCCTTCTCTCTTCCAGACGCTGGAGACGGCCGGCTACGTGAAGAGCATGTTAGTAAGTGCCACTCAGCGTCCTCTCCTGCATCTCGTCCCACTTCCTGGGCCTTTGTCCCCAGAGCCTTCCTGTGCCAGTGGTTCCTCCCCACCCAGATAGGAGCATCCACCCCCTCCCTGGGTGGGTTTTATGATCACAGTGCCGCTTGCCCAGAGGCTTTGCCATGGGACTGAGAACGCCCACCCAGCAGGGTCACGCAGGGAAACGGCCAACACCCCAGTTGGCTTTTGGCAACGCCTCATCCAGAGCTGGCTCCCCCTCCAGCCCTGGGACACTCACCCCGCCATGGGTTTCTCCACCCCGGCATGGACCCCAGTCTGGGCCTGGCTGGCTTCCTCATGGCCCCATAAATGCAGCCTAGCTCCCTGGAGAGAACAGGGCCACTGGTCTCACGTGTTAGCGAGGTCTGCCTCCACCGTGTGAATGCCACCCTGTGGACATCTGCCCTGGGAGAGCGGAGAGGGGCTGGGCCCTCCGTCTTTCTCGAATTTCCATTTATGTGTGTGTCACTCTAACCCCTGCCCCGCAGGGCCCCAACCCCAGACAGTGGAGGAAGCTCCAGACGTGAGCTCAGAGACACCCAAACCTGCCGTTCCTATTCCAGCCCGAGCTGCAAAGATGGTCCATCCAAACCCTCAGAGCAAACTGCCCTGAGCAGACCTCACTGCAGTGTCTTTGTGATGATGCAGGCGATAGACCAGCCTCAAGGTCACCCTCGGTCCATTCAGATGACGACTCGGAAATATTAACCTGTGTATTTAAAACTGACAGAGCTGTTCAACTACTCAAAAAAATCTCCTCAACTGGTTTTTTGCAGGAGCGTGATAAGCTTTTAAGATATCGGAAACAAAGAAAGAAGATGGCAAAACTCCCCAAGGTAAACGAGTACATGAAACGTGTATTTTAAAAAGCCACTTAACAGGAATGAACCTCTTCCTTTAGATATGAAAAGAAAATGGTTTTCTTATTTCTAAAAATTGTTCTTATGAAATAACCAAAACAGGACCCAAAGTAAGTATTCCCCTTATATATATATATATTTTTTAAATTTATTTATTTATTCATTTATTTTCGGCTGTGTTGGGTCTTCGTTGCTGCGCGTGGGCTTTCTCTAGTTGCAGCGAGTGGGGGCTACTCTTCGTTGCGGTGCGTGGGTTTCTCATTACGGCGGTTTCTCTTGTTGAGGAGCACGGGCTCTAGGCGTGCAGGTTTCAGTAGTTGTGGCACGCAGGCTTGGAAGTTATGGCTCACGGGGTCTAGAGTACAGGCTCAGTAGTTGTGGCGCACGGACTTAGCTGCTCCGTGGCATGTGGGATCTTCCCGGACCAGGGCTTGAACCCGTGTCCCCTGCATTGGCAGGCGGATTCTTAACCACTGCGCCACCAGGGAAGCCCTCTATGTTTTCTTTCTTTGCGGTACGTGGGCCTCTCACTGCTGCGGCCTCTCCTGTTGCGGAGCACAGGCTCCAGACGCACAGGCTCAGTGGCCATGGCTCACGGGCTCAGCCGCTCCGTGGCATGTGGGATCCTCCCGGACCGGGGCACGAACCCGTGTCCCCTGCATCGGCAGGCGGACTCGCAACCACTGCACCACCAGGAAAGCCCTCTTTATGTTTTAAATTTAAAAAGCGAACCTTGTTTCCTTTAAATTTCCAAGAGAAGATGCGAATTCACCACAGTAATGAGGAGGAGAAGGTAGCTGCGACACGCTCCCCGCCTGGGCCAGGGCCGCGGGCGGCAGCGCCTGGGTCTCTCCCAAGCGGACCGGCGCCCCTGCGCCCCTAGGGAATTTGAAGACCTGGGATAGTTTCTTTGCTGCGCAATCCTTTCTGATAAACCTGAGATTTTTATTAAAGGAGATTTGGGAGACATTCCCAAAGGACCTAACTCGTATCCTGCTTTTTACAAAATGTGTGAGGTTTTTTTTTGGTTTGGTTTTGGAACAACCAACGGTGATCCCCATACAGGCTGTTAGAGATTCCTTAGGCACAAATATGGGCTTGTCTGGCCCCTAGAAAGGCCGCTAGGAGGGCCATGTCCCACTCTGCTGTCCGCCAGCCCGGATGGTGGCCCCCTTGGCCCGAGGTTGGGCGGCCCGAGCAGTGCGGGGCGCGGGCGGTCCAGGATGGAGGCCGGAGTGCGCTTGGGGGCGCCCAGGCAGCTGGTCTGGGTTTGGATTAAAACACCGTCCCTTTTGGTCAGAAGCCGGTTGTCGTGGAGACCTTCTTTGGATACGATGAAGAGGCTTCCCTGGAATCTGACGGTTCTTCCATCTCTTATCAAACGGACAGGACAGACCAGACCCCGTGCACCCCAGACGACGACCTGGAGGAGGTACCCTCCTGCGGCAGCTTCTGGACAGGCCCAGCGGGCGGCGCAGAGGCAGGCAGGGTCGGGGTCAGGAGACTGCTCCCCGGAGGCGGCCCTCACTGGCTGTCACCCTCAGTGACCCACGATTTTGTGCAGTGGGAAACACCTCCCCTGGCAGATCCTGGCGGATGGCCCCACGACCATGAACCCGCTTAGAGATCCAGGACAGGGTAGCACAGCTGCCGCCAGTGAGGACGGGCCTGGGGGAGCTTGGGCCCGTTAGGGTTCCCGTCCGGTCACTCCTGGACATGGCTTGTTCTCCTCTGAAGGCCAGCAGCCCCCCGCCTTCTCCCTGGGGCAGCAAGTGACATCCCAGCCAGGGGGAGGCAGCAGGGGTGACTGTGTAGGAAGGGAGCCTGGAAGGTGAGACCTCAGCTTTAAGCCTTTCACAAGGCCCAGGTCCCTTCCCCACACGCTCCGGCAGAGCGGAGCCTCAGGGCAGCCTGGTCAGGAATGCAGGGTCCCCGGCTCAGGACAGCCTGGCTGGCAGGTGGGCCCCAGCCGAGCCCTGGCCTCGGATCAGCCGGCTCGGCCTTTCATCCCAGGGCTCAGGGCCTGCCTCTCGGGTCCCCTGTAGAGGCCCGGCTAACGCTGTGTCTCCGTGCGCCCCTCCAGGGCCTGGCCAAGGAGGAGACGGAGCTGAGGTTCCGGCAGCTGACTATGGAGTACCAGGCCCTGCAGCGGGCCTATGCGTTGCTGCAGGAGCAGGTCGGAGGGACGCTGGACGCAGAGCGAGAAGTTAAGGTCTAACTGACGTCCACGCCACCACGTTCCAGCTCCCACTGGGCTGCCCCGCTTGACCCCCGCCTTGGCAGGGACCCTCGCACCTTCCAGGCCCGGCCCTTCTCTCCCGCCGTCACGGTCGGGCCTGGTGACGCTCACCCAGGCGACCCACACGCGGTTGTTTGGGAAGCAGCTCTGGCGGTCGCTCAGCGGCGGGTGGGCCCGGGCCAGGGCGGGGTCCGAGTGGAGTGGAGGCACCCTCACACCCTGTGTCCCGATGGCCCAAACGCTCTCATCCGTTTGCCCTGGAAGCTGTTCCCAGGGCAGCCGGGGCACCCATCACGATAAAGTGCCCTGCGGCCTGGACCCTGTGAGAGCAGATTAACTCGAGGGAAGGGGGCTCAGACCCCCTAGAAGCCAGCTGGTGCTGGGTGGTGGGCTTTCACGCAGCAGGGCGCCAGGGGCTGGTCTTCTAAAGGAGGTCGGGCTCCGGGGAAGAAAGTGAAAGCGAAGTGCGGAAAAGGAGGCGAGCCCAGGGCGGGCAGAGCGCGGGGAGGGGAGGGAAGGTGCCCGGGGGCTGTGCCTGGTACATCGCTCAGCAGCCCCTCTGCGTGTGTCCTGGTCATTATTGTCCAACGACTAAAGCAGACCCTTCCAGCTCGCACCCAGCAGCTCAATCCTTCTTCATCCTGTAAACGAGGATTCTCCCTAATAATCCCTTCAAATGAATCTATAGATCATCCCCCCGTAATCTCAGCGAGGTCGCGTGCTTCAGCTAAGCCTCCACGTTTCCCCTTTACTCCAGAGCGGTCCTTGCCAAGGGGCTGCTCTCCACTGGTTGAACCAAAAGGCAGACAGTCCCCTTAAAGTCCCGTCCAAGTGGGCGCGTCTGGCTTTTAGAGAAAATTTGATGTATGTCTCCTCCCATCCTACAGACCCGTGAGCAGCTACAGGCGGACGTGCAGAGGGCGCAGACGCGGATCGAAGACCTGGAGAAGGCCCTGGCAGAGCAGGGGCAGGTGAGCACAGGGGCCTGGGTCCCCGGGAGGCTGGGGTGGTGGCCCCCGGGCTGCAGTGCCCCGGCGATGAGGGTGGCGGTCTGTGGGTGTGTCTGTCGGCGAGAACTGTTCATCTGTACGCTGAAGACTGGCGCCACAGCTCCCTGTACTGCGTGTGCATCACACCTCAGTGAGAGATTTCAAAGCGGAAAGAGTGCATACATAAAGGGACTCCACAGCAAGCCTCGAACAAGGCAGGGATCATCCTGGCTGTCCGTACACGCCTCTCTGGGCTTCATCAGAGATCCTGTCCGTCTCTTAGCTCAAGGCCTGCATTTCAGGTCCCAGGGCTTTGTCGGTCACTCCCCTCAGCCCCCCTCAGCGCTGGACTCTTCAAATCCCAGGGGAGGGCCTCCATCCCACGGGGCCTGAACCTCCCCCTGCCCTGCTGGATGCTGCAGCCCCAGGTGGACCTCCAGGACGGGCTGGAGGACGTCCAGTGGGGCTGGGAGGGTCTGGGTGGGAGAGGCCAAGCACCGTGCAGACCCACGGAGGACCTAATGTGTTAACTGCTGGGGAGACGGCCGGACAGACGGACAGGGCAAGGACGTGAGCCACTGCCTGGCCAAATTGCCACATCCTCGCCTGAGCGCGCGAGGCCCCGAGTCCAGTGCTGAAGCACCTGAGTCACACAGGACCGGCCCACATCCCCACTCCTCGGGCCCTGAGCCCCCGGGCTGCGCTCGGCCTGAGCGAGCTGCACTCCGGAGCTGCGCGCACAGCGCCACGACCCAGACCCGGAGGCGTCATTCCTGGACCCCATCTGATGTTGCCGCCGAGCGTCTTGCGCCCGAGAAGCACAGTAGCCGAGCTGGGAAGCGAGAAGAGGAGGGGAGGAAGCCGGTGCTTTTGTTGCGGAAACGAGTCCTTCAGACTTGCAAAGAACTTCACAGAGGACTCTGCTGAGAAGAAATTTGGGCCCGAGTTCAGTGTCTGGACACCTCACTTTGTGACCAAATGCCGGTGGTGGAGGTTCCTCCAGGGCCTGGAGCTGGAACCGGGGGTCGAGGACACCAGGCCTCCCCCAAGGCCTGACCCAGGGCAGCCCAGAGGGCGTCCACACGGGCCCCACCAGAGCTCAGAGCCTGCCTTGGGCCCCGAGTCCCCAGGTGTGAAGTGGGAGGGACCCCCACCCTGGCACCTGCCCTCTCCCCACCGGCCCGAGCCCCCTGGCTCCCGCTGGCTGTGTGTCTGGGTCCCCCAGACGTGCAACGTCCACATGGGCACCTGGCCTGGGCTTGCACGAGCCTGGGTGCCATCCACTTCTATCCGGGACCCTCCAAGGAAACGGGTGAAACCCTGGGTTTTCATCAGCTGTGGGGCAGAAGCTACCACTCCCTGGTTACTTCGGCAGCTGGGTGTTGAGTCTTTTCGTCACATCCCCTGTCTGCTGAATTGTGATTTCAATCGTGGTTCCACCCTGCGGTGTATTTATTTCTCCACTTTGATTCCAAGGACATGAAGTGGATTGAAGAGAAGCAAGCGCTGTATCGGAGAAATCAAGAGCTCGTAGAAAAGGTACGCCCCTGCCAGGCCGCGTCTGAGAGTCTGACTGCTTCCCGAAAAGAGCAGGAATTCCCTTGCGCTCAGGGGTGTGCGGGGTCCCTGCGGTGCTGGGCGGTGGGGAGACGGCAGAGGTTCCCCAGCGGAGCCCCAGCCGGGCCTTCTGTGCTTCTCACTCCCATGGGGCTGCCCCCCCGACCCACCCCTCCTGGGACAGGTGGCCTGGAAGGAGGCACCTAGGGTCCCGCCAGCCCCATGTCTATAGCGGCTTCTCGATTCTTGTTTTCTTGCCTGATGGGTTCTGTGGTTGGGGACGGTTAGAAAACCTTTGTGGGTAGTTCATGGCCGTCCCCAGAGGAATGGGCCCAGGACGGCTGGAGCCAGTCACGTGGAACGAGGTGGGAGGGGGCAGTGGCTGCACGTCCAGAGGCAGGAGGGCCAGTGGGGCCTCACTGCTCGCTCTGGCAGCCCCCTCGTCACCCTGTCCTGGTGAGGGTGCTCTTGGTGACCCGTCCCCACCAGCAGCTGGCCTTGTCCACAGGCAGAGGGCGGGCGGGGGCAGCACCTTCTACGGCAGGCACAGCCCTTCTAGAAAAGAGCCAGGCCGGCCACAGCTCGCGAGCCTGAGGGCACCGAACCAGGCCCATGGGCAGAGGCCGGTCCTGCCCCACCCGAAGCCATCAGGCCCACACGGGGCAGTGCTTTGCGTGCCATTCATACCTTAAATGCTGAGCTACACCTACCTGCTTGTCGTGGACCCTCTGCACACGTCTTAAATCAGCACAGTTGTTTCCGTGATGCTCTCAGGCTCACATAAACACTCTTGTGCACCTAAATGCTTGTGTGTACACAGAACGACCGCATACTTAAATGCGCACGCACACATGTGAATGCTCGTGTGCACATATAAATGTTCACGTGCTCACGTAATAGCTTGTGTGCACTCAGACACACATGTGCACCTTTAAACACTCATGTGTGCACATCAACACCTACATATACACTTGAACACAGGCACACTCAAATGTTCACGAGCACACACACACTTAAACACTCATGTGCGCTTAATTGTCACCTGTACACGTAACCCCCACATGCACACGTAACCCCTCATTTGCACACTTGAACACTCATATGTGCACTTAAAACCTGTGTGTTCGTCTGGCACGGTGCCCATGGTCCGTGGGTGCATCCCAGCTGTCCCAGCCGTGCAGAGTGACACACAGTGCAGTGGGAAGCCCCAGCCCCTGAGGGCACCAGCTAACTCAGAGGGCACTGATGCTTCTGGATCCACCTGGACCCATTCCGAGCCACAGAGCAGGCCCCTCGGCCCCCAAGTTCAACGCGGGGGGACGGACCGAGTTGACGGTGCCCATGGTGGACACGAGACCACTGAGGACATGTGCCACGGGCTGCACTGTGCTTACCCCTTGGGAGGCGTGGGCCTCACACACGTCAGTTCTGGAGGGGGGCCAGGCAGCCACGGCACACAGCCCCGCCTTCGGACAGCAGTGTTCCTGAGGCTCTGGGCCAGCCTGGGCTCCAAGGGCCGCTGTCCTGGCCGCGGTGAGGGGCGGGCAGCATGGCGACAGCTTACGCCTCTGCCCGCGGTGGCCCTTCTCTTCCTCATCTCTGCTCAGATGGCCCCCCGCCCTGTGTCCCCCGCCCACCAGCTGCCGGTTTAGCCCAGGAGGGGACTCACCTGGTCTCACCAGGGCAGCCCCCCGCGGACTGAGGCCGGAGTGAGGGCTCTGGGCCGAGGACCTGGGCCAGGCGGCCATCCCCGTGACGCCAGCAGCCGTCAGGGGAAGCTGAGAGCTGGCCTCACGTGAGACTCCAGGGCCTCACACGTCTTTTGTTTTACAGATTAAACAAATGGAGACAGAAGAGGCTCGGTTAAAGCATGAGGTCCAGGATGCGAAGGACCAAAACGAGCTGCTGGAGTTCCGGATCCTGGAGCTAGAGGTGCGGGGTTGGGGTGGGGTCAGAGAGCTGTCACCCCGAGCTGGTACCATCGAGGGCTGCGAGTCCAGCCCTGTCACTCAGAGGAAACAGATGCAAAACGAAACAAAAGTGTCCGCACGCAGCTCTGGAGCCTCCCTCGCTCCTGGTGCCTCGTGGCCCTGGCTGGCAGGCATGGCCACCCTCTCCTACGATGCCACCGCCCAGCTTCGCTTGGTGCGTCTGTGCACCGGCATTTCTGCCTGCCTGGTTTCCCGGCGTCCACGCACGCCTGCAGTGTGGGGAGGGGGCCCCCACGAGTCCAGAGGGAGCTGCCCCTCAGGGTCCTCCCGTCCGCCTCCCGGGGGCAGGAGGGCTGTGTGGCCACTCCGTGTGTGTCGCCCCGTGGCCCAAGGGTTCGTGCGTGTGGTCCTGGGTGAGGACGGTGGCGGCCCCTCCAGCCACTGTCCTCTGTCCTCAGGGTCACTGAGGTCAGGCCCGTGCGGGACACTGCTCCCGGTCCCCTGGGACTCAGATCAGCTCGTCGGCCTCTCAGCAGGCGGGGGCCGCTCCCAAGGGCCTCCCCGTGGGTGGCTGGGAGGCCCCTGCCCCCATCAGTGTCCACACAGGGCCGTCCCCTGGGCAGGAGGAGGGATTGGCCTCTGCTGCGGCAGCCAGGGCTTCGTCTTCACAGAGACCACGCTGACCGTGTTGGGTGGACTTGGTGTCTTCACCGTGTCCCCGGGCGGCCCAGCACTGCCCTCCAGGAGGGAGGGGATGCCCGTGCCCAGACTTCCGCTCTCTGTCTAGGAGAGGGAGAGGAAGTCGCCGGCCATCAACTTCCACCACACCCACTTCGTGGACGGGAAGAGCCCCCTGCAGGCATACTGCGAGGCCGAAGGCGTGATGGTAACGCCCGCCCCTGCCCGCGTACCCCTCAGCGCCGCGGCCGCCTGGCCGGCGCTCCCTCCCAGCAGCCTGTCCCCCTCCTCTAGGACATCCTGGTCTCGGAGCTGATGAAGAAGCTGGACCTCCTGGGGGACAACGCCGTAAGTGTAGGTCGCTCTCCTGACTTGTGCATGCCTCCCCGTGCCCAGCGCCCTGCACGGTCCAGGGGCCCCTGTGAGTCCCGCTGTGGCCCCACCGCAGCCCACACCCTCCCAGGCGTTTAGGAGAAGTGTCGTTCTTTCTGACACTGTTCCCACACGGGAGTTCGGGGCCTCTGCTCTCACACCTGACTCTTGCAGCAGAGGTGCTTCTGGCCCCGTGTTCTCAGTTTCTGGAATCCCTCTCAGTCTCTAAGCTCTTCCATATTCTTGGTGGGGATGGGGGCTGTGGGTCCTTAGTGTGCCTTAGACACCTCAAACTCAGGGCTTCCCGTTTACTTAGTTTGGGAGGAGGGGCAGAGCCTATATAAATAATCCCCGAATCTCACTTAGGGCAGAGTTCCAATTTCTACAGCAAACTCCAAAAGAATACTAATTGCTGAATGGGCAGAGTGACTGCATCCCTTCACGCCACCCTCCATCCTCCATCCTCTGTCCATCCATTCTCCATTCACCCTCCATCCATCATCCTGTACTTGTTGAGCCCCTGCCCAATGCGGGGGGGATCAACTGTGCTGGAAGAGGGCCCCAATCCACACCCCAGAACGTTTCCGCCACAAGGTATCCTGACAAGTGTACAGTCTACAGCTGGTCCTAAAGCACCTTGGACTTCACGTCCTGGTAACTGCTCTCAAGAAAGATCAAGGCACTAAGTCAAATTGGTGCACTCCGTGCAGTAGATGGAGGAGAAAAACACATGCAAACACACACACACACACACACACACACACACACACACACACACTTCTCACAACGCATACCAAAACCCAGGCGCTCATGCACATCCTTGGGGCCAGTTCTTCCCAGCAGCTTCAAGGTGTTCAGGGCCCTGTATTGACAGGAATCCCTCCTCTCCCCACCTGCCCTTGACTTGGGAAGCAGTGAGGGTGGGGAGCGGGGGGAAGCAGCTCCCAGCAGGGAGGCTCTCCTGGCTGCATTGCCCACCCCCCGACCCTGCCACTAGTCAGACCCCTGGCTCCACCTCGGCCGCAGGTAGCAGAGGTGCTGGTCCACAGCAGGGATGGCATTGTCACGATGTGCTCCGGGGTTCAGCCTGAGTATCAGCCCCCATCATGGGCTCTGGGAACCTTTCAGTTCACAGCTGGAGAGACCGAAGCCCCAGAGGGCACCCACCTAGGTCACGGAGCTGCGGTACTGGCCAGCTAGGATGAGCCCAGGTCTGCCTAGTTCTGTTCGGGGCCCCTCCCAGCCCAAGAGCACCAGTGCACATGACGGCCCTGGAGCCATCACATGGCCTCAGAGGCGGGGGCAGAGGACACACTGCCGGTCTTACGTGCAGGTGACCTCTAGAGACCCTTGACAGTTTCTGAAGGACCATGGGGGCGACCCTTAGGTCTGTCGTGTGCACATAGACACACTTCAGGCAGACGACAGGGATAGCCTGGCCCTCTCCCCTTCTTAGCCAGGGCACGCTGAAGCTGTGGCCACTGTCTCCAGGCTGCTTCCCAGAAGGCTGCAGCCTCCCAGCTGGCCACGGGGCACCTGAGCCCCAGGCCTCGGTTTCCCCAGGAGTCAGGGTCCTTGGAGTGGAGCAGAGGGGCCGGCAGGGGGCAGAATGGACCCCTGTCCTCCCTGGTGGGCCATCTGCTCACTGCTGCTGCACCTGGGCCGCAGTGGGGACAGGTCACCCAGGGAAGGCTGCGAGGGTGGAGGAGACAGCACATTGCCAAGGCCATGGTCACCTCCAGGAGGGAGTAGCTGGAGCCCAGCCAGGCTGCCCACCAAGTGGAACATCGCGGGCCCTTCAGCCTGGCCTGACCACGTCGAGGCAGCTTCCCTCAGTTACCCGGAAGCCCCCCGCAGTCCCCCACACTCCCCATCCCGGCCATTAGGCCCAGCCCTGCCTCGGGAGGAGGGTGGGGACAGCCTGGCAGTGTCCCCGGAAGCCAGAGGGATGAGGGGCGCCTGGCCCCGGCACCACACCGAGTTGGGCTGCAGCATGCCTGAGGACGGAGCCTGCCTCTGTCCCAGCAGCTGGCCGCCGACCCCCACCTGTGCCTACTGCTGCCGGGGTAGGGGGTGGTGAGAGACCCCTGCCCCTGGGGAGCTCACGCTGTGGAGGGAGCAGGCGGGAGGTCTTTCGGAGTGGGTGGCCCTGAATCAGGGAGGTTCTGGGGTGGGGGGGGCCGCCCTCAGCTCAGCGACCCTAGTGGGCTCCTCCCTGCCTGTCTCTGCTCCCCTGACCCCTGTTGGCTGTCCCACAGGTGGGCCCAGCAGTGGGGACACAGCCCAGCTGCCTCCACCCTGGTGCTGTTGCAGGTGGCACATCCTCTGAGGATGCCCCCTGGCCCCAAAGCCAGAGTCACCCTGCCCAGAAGGACCACCCAGGCGGGCCCTTTGGGGCGAGGCATGAATAAAACATGCAGAAAAAAGGCAAAACGGCAGGGATGGGAACCATTTCATAGCCATGAGTGTTTGATCTTTGCTTCACATTCGTAAGTTGTGCTGTAATAATTGAGGCCGCCTGTGCGGAGAGCTGGCTTTAAATAAAAACCCAACAGAGAACCGGGAAGCCTGGCTGCTCGTCCCGTCACCCACTGTCCCATTCTGCCTCACTGGCTACCTTAGACGTGGTCACCAGCAGTGAGAGGACCAGAGGGGGCAAGACGGAGAGCCACCCCAGAGCTGGCAGGACCAAGAGGAAAGAGGATCAGAGACTCCCGGGAGGGCCTTTTAGTGAAAGCGACATTTAGCTGTGATCCCAGCTCCCTTGCGCCCGTCCCATCAGCGCCACGGAGCGCCCGTCACTCAGCCCGGCCACCCAGAAGGCACTTCCCCTGACCATGCGTGAATTCTGCTTTTGGGTGCAGAATCTGACCAATGAGGAGCAAGTGGTCGTCATACAAGCCAGGACAGTCCTGACCTTGGCCGAAAAGGTAACAGTGACTGTGGACGCTGTCGGGACGGGGCCGGGCTTCCCGAAGCCTCCCTTTCTGGCTCAGCACACAGAAGACGCTCACCCTGGGAGGAGGGCTACCGGGAGGTGGGGTTGGGGTCCACAGATCCCGTTTGCCTCGGGAGGTCTGGCACACGCACAGGTCAGCCAGCACTGCTACGCGTGTCTGCAAGTGACAGATTCAGCCAGACCTCTCCCCAAGGCCACTCTGCCTCCGCCTCCCCCCAGAGGCTGGGAGGTATGGTGGTCTGTAAATCAGCAGCATCTGTCTCACCTGCCGGGACCCTCCTCCGGGGTCGCCCAGCCCTCCCGGGCTCCCCACCCTCCAGCCTCTCTGCTCCCACGGGCCGCCAGCCTGCGCCCGGTCCCACCCCCGCAGCCAGAACCCATGGGCCTGCTGGCAGCGCCCCCTCCCAGCGGCCCCCAGCAGGGCAGGCAGGGGTGTCCAGCAAATGGGAGCTCAGGGGCCAGCACCCCGGGAGAACGGGCCGCCTAACGTCCCTCCTCTCCCGGCGCTGGGGGGCAGACTCCCCGGACACGAGGCGGGGCTGCGCGGGGGCACCCGGGCCTGGCCCGCACGCCGGGCACACGGAGCCCATGATGCCAGCCCAGCCCTGACTCCCACGAGGGCTGAGCCCTCCCCTCCTGGAGGAAGACTGGGAAGGGCAGGGAGGGCCAGGCCCCCAGGCTGTCTCCCCGGGGCTCGGCGAGGTGGGCTTCGACGCCTGAGCACCTTCCGTTTGTGTGGAGTGGCTGCGGCCTGAGCACCTT